TATATATATCTGGAGTATAAAGGTCGTGTTTTCTAAACTTTTTATCAAAATACACAATGGGCTATCCGTGCTATACCCACCGCGAGTATCAAAACCAGAATTTTAGTGTTATAAACTCTCACATTTATCGCTGAGCCACAAAGGACCAATCCATTGTATTAGCATATATAAACTATTCTTATAAACAACAGAAAATAAACAAACGGAAAACTTCTAACAAAAGGTGACTTTTCCGCTTATTTATTCACCAGTTTTAACCATCTTCGCTTTTCTTCTTGAATTATTGTGGTCATCGTTCGTTTAAAAGGCGATTAACTTTGTATATGAAAATAACTGTAGTTATTGCTAAACTTATATGTATTATATTACATTAATTCTAACAAATAAAAACGATTGTTCACTGTTAAACTAAAATCGCTCTTTGAGTTTCTTCTTGAATAGTCCCCGTTTATTTGCTACGTTGAAAAAAGCTATATAATACTGTCAGTGATGAACTGGCAATTACACTTCAAATTAATATTCTATTGTTTTCTAATATTGTTTTTTTTTCATTATTGTTTACATTGTTTATGTGTTTCATTAGGATCAACCACCTCTCCATAACTAATACACACAGTTAATGGTAGTTTTTGGTGGGACGTTGCAAGTTTGAGCAACCATATCTGCTTCTAGTTCTAACGAATAAAGGATAAAGCTAATTCAGCGTATTATCTTCACTGCGTGGGGCGAATTTCCTAAGGTACATTTATTATTCCCACTCTGAATAGTTTATTTCTTAATTATCTTCGGTAGTGATGTTTATACTTAGTAGTTTGAGAATATCGGCCAATGGTAAAAATTAACTTAACTGTTTTATATACATATATAATAAAGAATCCTGTACTTCAATATGAATAAATCCGAGTAAGAATAAAATCCATCAATATATATATATAGATTATAATAAAAAATTAAATACTTTAGACGTATGTATAAGAAATAACTCCGCTGTTGTTATAAAACAATCTCAATAAAGGTACATCTGCTGTATTTCAGCGTATATTACCATCTAGTTAATTGGTCTGTTTCAGAATTTCCACACAAAGCTACACAAATGTCTACATGTGCAGAGTTGTCCCTGATTTTAAACTGATGGATTATATGGTTACTCTTGTCTGACCGAATAGTGGGAATTGACTGTCACTTTTATAGAGTACTCAAGGCCACAAAGAGCGTAACGTGTTTTTGCGGCAACAGACAGCGAGCAATGAAATCTTGGATTCACAGTCTAAGTACGCTAACCACTAGACCAAGCACAGCCCATAATTCATTTAAAGTTTTTTGCTAATTAAATAAAATGTTTTATACCTTCATAGCAAGCATTTGTATGAGTTTCGGAATGTTTTAAATGTGACACTGTGCTTTCTTGGCAGAGGGTAACGAACGTTGCTATACAAGGTATTCATATTAGCCGAAAACACGCAACTGTGTAGGCAATTTCATTATAGTTGTTCGACTTTTCTTCATGCCAGTCCATTATTTTTCAGCCATGCCCAGGCTTAGTAGGTTTATGTTGGTCTCTTTTTTTTTGTACCTATATGCATACATAGAATATTCAGTGTAATCTTATGCTTACGATGATATAGTGCTTGATTTCAGTAAAATTCAAAATGACTCTCACATGGCGATCAGTGAACACGATACACATGACATAGCTTAGTGAGTTTCTAAGCCTTAGGACCTGGATTATGTTAACAGCATGTGCTTCAACAGCGTGGCGTTCATTTACACCCAGATGTGAATAAAAATATCCCTTGTTAAAATTTTCCTAAAGAAATGAAAAGTGAAACCAAGCGAGTTTCGAACTCATGCTTTAGCCAACTAAGCTTGGGAGGAGGGGGGGGATATTAATGTATAGCAAAGGCTTGGAAGATATTAAATGCCGTGAATCTCAATTCTCCTTTCGCTGATATAAGGACGAAATTCTGACAGACTTAAGCTATGCCAATCTGCTTTTAAAGCCCAGAATGCTTTTATTTCTAATTTGTTCTCTAGAAGGTTGGATTAAGTAATGAATTGCGGCAAAACGTAAAAGAGGCATGCTGTTTTTTTTATCGTTAGATTGTTTCTAAAGACATCAAAACTGAGACCTAGCGATAGTCGAACCCGTGAATCTCCACACCGCTTACGTAATTTATTTAGATAATCTTCAGAACAAACTGTATACTATGCACTGTACCAAAACATTTACACACATTACGGACGGTTTTATGCCTTTTTCATAAGTCATATTAGCTTATATTATTTTCATTAGCTGGATTGTTTGTTTGTTTTGCAAAGTTAAGCACAAAGCTACATAATGGACTGACTATCTGTGCTCTGCCCACCATGGGTATCGAAACCCGGTTTCTAGCGTTATAAGTCCGCAGACATGCCACTGGGGAGGGCAAAAACGTGTTTGAAGATACAATGTCTTGTCCCCTTGCACTGGCTGGCAAATACTCACGCAAATTTCTGAAATCTGCTAGATAAATGTAGTTTCAAGAGAAAATAATTAACAAAAATATTAAAAAGTCGAAAACAATCGTCGTCTTAAACATATGCTAAATACTCATGTACTAAGCTTTAAATACAATTTTTATCGAATTCATATATGGCAAAACGCAACGTTTTCCGTGCTATAATCCTGAGCTTTGTTTTCGTCTACAGATATACTATTTGTTGTTACTAAGATTCCCCGGTAGGTCAGCGGTAAGTTTACTTGTTTACAAAACTGAAATCCAGGTTTCGATTCCCCGCGACAGACAGAGCGCAGACAGATAGCCCATTTGTAGCATCGAGCTAAAACAGAAACATTTGAAACGTCTTACTAAAACAGAACTATTGTTGTAATACATATATTTCTTTGTTTGTTGTTAAGCGCAAAGCTACACGATAAGCCATCTGTGATCTGCCCACAGCGAGTATCGAAACCCAATTTTAGTGATATAAACCCACAGACTTACCATTGAGCCACCGATATTACTATAACAAAAACAGGTTCTGATAAGTGTGCTACCGTAAAAAGTATTATTTTTAATCTGTATCTCACTGCAGGACAGTTGTCATCGAAACAACAGCAAGAACAATGCACTTTGCAGACATTTCACCAGTGTTTAACGTCTCTACAAAGCGTGACTCAGGCCAGTGATCTAAACCTCATCGCATCGAAAGACGAGCTGGATGCTGCGTGTCGGTAAGTTTGCCCATATGTTAAATCGATTTCCCGTAATGAACTGTTTATACGATTTGATGATTTAAAATAAATACATTAAAATCAACAAATAATATAAGTAAACAAGCAGCCTTTTATAAACTAGTGATTTCATAGCTGTATTTCTTATAACATTTATCTTATCACATACAAACTATAATATCAGAATAAATAATATACAGGAGTGAAGCTGGTGCTACAAATTGTCAGGTGTTATGTTATTGGCAGGATTCTTTACAGTAGGTGTTTGTGACTTGTTGGCGATGAATTTTAACGATAAACAAACAGTACACAGTCCACAGTATTAAAACAAGGCAAACGTATATACAAATGTTCGTTACACATTTAATTATCACAGTTGTATCCAGATCTTCACATCATCGTCTCTTTTCGTCAAGAGTCTACACGGTCTGGTTCAGTTACCTTAGAACACAAGTTGATGACGAGGAAATCACTTTTTTAGGAAATAAAAGTTTGGAGACGGCTTGACTGGGTAATTATTATAATCATAATTTATTATAAATGTGCGACGTTTCGAAGATATTATGCCATCTTTAGGTACCAAACTTTTATCTTCCCTACTCTGTTATTACAATACAATCTGTGATAATTTTACTTTAAAAGACGCCTCTATACGCTCTTTATGGCTAAACTCACAATTACGTAGTATACATTTAGCTTTCTATCTTACTAACTGTCTATCTTTGAAGCTAATTCGAAGTACATTTTGCATGCGTATTTATAGCCTAACCTAAACCTCGAACATTCTACACAGTACGAGAAATTATGATGCAATAATACTCAATTAAACAACGAGAAAAACTTAGAAGGTTCTAGTAGCAGTACGCAATAATACAACAAGCGCCAATTCACAACATTTGAACTACACGACTTATAAATTCGTACACAGTTACGTAAACAAACCTGTGATAAACTATCGTTTCTAAAAGTAACTAAATTTAACATTCGTGCTATACTTAAACCACCTCGCATTAACTTAAACAGTCATGTATATCTAACACAAATAACCGATTTTTTAAAATCAACATACAAGATAAACTGCTTAATTTAGAACGACTATATTGTACTTGTCCAGATACAGGAACAGAAAAAAAGATTAATTGTCACAAATATAAGGTAATCTTAAATTGGAATAAAATACATAAAAAATGAAACTGTAAGACCCCTAATAATAAAGCAAATATTTTAAAATACTCAAAGTGTATTGAAAAATTATTTAAGTTAAACAGAGGGTTGAACGAAGTCTTAAGTTAATTCAATATTGAATATTTATATAAATTTTCATATAGCTAAAAATTACTGTTTTGTACTGACATTACGTGTTAATAATTTTGTTCCCCCGGAATTCCTTTTGCAAAACGAGTTGTAGAATGTTTTATTCTTTAAAGTTAGTCGTGGAGTGAAAGTGAATTATACGAATACTTTTAGAAACTCGGTACATTACTGGTTGACAGATTGATTTCCTTTCTAATTAAGCGCTTTATTGGGTTGTATAGATAGAGACTTTGGTTCCCCTGACCAAGATTACTTCTTTTGTCCTAGGTACGTCTGTTTGAGTTGACAAAACATATTTAAAAAAATTATTGTTGGAACTAGATTTTCATACTTTCAAGAACTTTTTTGAGTTGAACTTATAGCTAAAGGCGGAAAAGCAACCGGTAGACTGCGAGAGCGCCTCCCATAGAAGCAGAAAGATAAAGATTTTTTTAAAATGCTAGTTTAAATATTTATTGTTAAAAACAGAAATAATATCTGAAATAGAAGCTGTGAAAATGATTCAAACATTTAAAAGTTTAATTATATATACACATACAAACATTCACTAAAAAGGGCCTTGTGATCTAAAGAATTCAAAAAAAATGATAAATGAGTACAGATAATCACAACAATGCTTCAATATATTCGCTTCTTGTGCGTATCTTATTTTCGAACAAACATGCAAGTTATATAAATTTTAAAATGCATTCAACGCCTAAACTTCACAAGGTCAACTGTAGAAAGCAGTTAACAAGAACAAATTTAACAGAATTTTTTAACTCATTTCGTTTCAAAAGTTCTATATTATACGAGTGGCATTAATTGATTAACGAGTAAATGATATTTTAATAAATCCTATAATCAAAAAAGTTGTTTTGTTAAAAATTCCGCTTAACCTGAGAAACTATTAAATTATTATTCACACCAAAAAAAGTCTCTTGGCTATCAAATAGTAATCATAACCAAAAGAATATCAACGATTATTGTCATTATTTAAAACTTTCATTACTCAAGTTACAAATAAGCTCAATCTCGTTTTTATTAGGTAATTATTATAGCTTACAGTTCAATTAAAACATTCTTTTTAATTTTACAGTTACTTATTTTTCTTACTTATCCAGACGTCTTTTGAGGTAGTTAAACCATCTATTTACTGACAAGATCTCAGCCAATTAAGAAAAGACTGATCCACTTTACCTACTTTTTTTTTCATTACTGGTAACACCTTGCGTGTATTCGAACTTTATACAATGATTTTACTATTTTTATAATGCCGACTGTTTTACACTTAACATTTTCTGCGCTGCCTCACAATAAAATAAGATCAGTTATATTACTGACAATTGTACTGATTCTTATTGATAACTCGCACTAAATTGAACAATCCAGTATTCCATGTAAATCCACATTTATAGCAAAGACATAAAAGGGTACGCAATAAACTTCCATTATATATTTGGTTTATGAACTTGTTGTATTTTCTATAAGTATATAATAAACTACTGTTACCTGGGATTGTTTCATTTTATTGGATGATACTGTATTAAGTTGTCTCTTCCATCACCCAAGATTGAACATAGGAAAATGCAAAGTCTTTTTCTTTCTTTTTTTGCACATAACACATCAGGCATTTTTGAACTAAATATGAAATATCTCCTTGGTGATGGCTTAAACCAAAACATTAAACTGAGTTGATATTGTGCTTTGTATCATTTGGATAGTTTATGCATTTCATTAAAATGGTTTACACATAGATCTAGAAGTATGAATTACATCTTCTGGAGTTTCATTCTTGACAGCTTTTTTAACTGTCCATAAGAATTTATTTTTCGGATCTTGCTTCAGAAAATTCTCGGTTGTTTGGTTTAATATCTTCTAGGGTAGACTGGCACTGTACATATTCGAACTCGGTAAAAAAATGTTGAGTTACAATATCAAATGTCAGGAAACTGTTTAAGTCAAATAAACAATTTGGAAGAAGAATGTTTATATAGAAAATAAAACTCACGTGAACGGAAAAGATAACGTTTTCTGTAGCAGCTATATATTTTAGTGCTTATACAGAGGTTGGGTACGTTATATTTAAAACGATGTTAGAGTCTCACCACCTCGACCAGTTCGTCACATCCAGCTAGGCTCTCTTTGACGACCGCGCATTTTAAAATTAGCCCTGTAGAGTAGTTTCTGTTGCAGAATAATCTGTTGTGAGGCTGTCATGTCTGAAGCACGCCCCTTCTCTCTGCGTCTTTCAATAAGCCATTTAGTGACGTTAATTTCCCAGCGCTCACTTCATCAGTCTGAGTTTAAAGAAATCCATAGGCGTTGCGTCGGCAACTTCACCGTACGTCTTCGTATGAAATAGAGTGAATACCCATTTCATTCTCCAGCTGCTTGAAGTATGCGAGAATTGAAATGTCGTAGAAACAACTTTGTACATGTGCTTTGTGTTGCTTTTACAGACAGAGGTTCTTTTTGATTTTATTATATTCTTTTGTCTTCAGTTTCTCCTACTCAAGGCTCACCAGCACAACTTGAATCGGCAAACCAAAGAACTACAGTTAGGCCTCTTATAATGATACGCTTTTATAAGATTAATGGAGTTTTTGAGTCCTTTTAAATTCACCGTATAGCAACTCAATTTAGGTATGTGAATAATAATATTATGGCATGGTGACTAATTTTTGATTTGTATTATACAGCAGGCCAATTGTTTAATGATTCTTTATGTATGTTACATTTTTATTTTATTTTTTAAACAAAGATTACTATATGGTGAATAAAAAAGCGACCACTTTTACACTATCTATGAACGATGAACAATATAAAAATGTAGTTCTGATAAATCCGATCCACTACGATTTAAGCCCGGTATGGCCATGTGGTTAGGGAGCTCGACTCGCAATCTGCGGGTTCGAATCCCCGTCCCATCAAACATGCTCGCCCTTTTAGCCGTTATAATGTGACGGTCAATCCCACTATTCTTTGGTAAAAGAGTTGGCGGTCGGTGGTGATGACTAGCTGCTTTCCCTCTAGTTAT